AAAACAGTGCTTAGCGTTCCAGATATAGGTATATCAAGCCATTTACGGATATAACTGTTGACTTTGGAATCAATGTTTTCGGTGACCCACGTTTTCGATACGCTAGAAGCTGTAAAATGCCAGGATAATTTTGACAGAAGATATCGACTGTAGAGGAGGATTTTATTTTTTGGATGTAATGGTTTGGAATCAATATCTGCCATTAGTTCTTCAACGAGTGAGATTAGTTCAGACTTGTGGTGTTCGTCTGACATATTAAAACTAAAGTATCTTCCTAAGTATTGAAAAGCCTCACTGATGTTGATCTTTGGAATTAGTTGCTTGTTAATAAGTAGTTTAGGCAAGTATTGGATTGATTTTGTTAGAGATTTTTTGATGCCAAAGGTACTACATTTATCAACCCGAATAATCATGTTGGACCATTGGCACCAAATGGAGAACCGGTTTAGAAGATGTTGATTTTCGGATTCTTGACTACTTATGACGGCGGCATCATCAGCAAACTGAAACCAGTGGATGGGATTTAGAAACTGTAAGGAGAAGCCGAATTGACGATATTTATCTGTTTTTATGTGTTGTATATAAAGGTGTTGAAACACATGTTGAAGAGAAGAGGACTCAGGCAATCACCTTGCAATACTCCACGGCGAACTGGTATGAAGGGGGTACGGAATTCAGATGTAATTATTGAAGTTTTAAAATCGGTATATAGACTTTTAATTATCAATTTAACATGTTCAGGGATATGGTGGTAATCAAGTACGGATGTGATCAGATTATGATGAACTTCACCAAAAGCATTCTTGAGGTCAAGTAGGGTGATGACTAGTGAGCGTTGTTTGATTCGGGCTTTATTGATTATATTGGCCATTTGTGCAGTATGTTCTAAGGTGCCAGACATGTTAGGTGTGAATCCTTTTTGAATATTATGTTCTATAAAGTTATTAACGGTTAGGAATGAATACATTGCGTTACGTAGGCAGGAAGTGAATACTTTTAATGGTATGGTCTCCAGTGTGATGGGTTGGAAATTGGACGGGGTATTAGTATCGCCTTTTTTATGGATTAGTATTGTGCAAGCTTTCTTCCATTCTGAAGGGATGGTTCCAGATAGCCACACGGCACGAATAAGGTCAGTTAAATATGTTCTTAGGAAAGGACAGCGTTTAAAACATATAATAGATAGCTGATCAAGGGGACATGGGGAGCCAGATGCCTTCGTTCTGCGTATTATATTCGTGACTTGTTGATACGATGGGGAGTCAAGGTCAAATAATAATAATAATAATAATAATAATAATAATAATAATAATAATAATAATAATAATAATAATAATAATAATAATAATAATAATAATAATAATAATAATAATAATAATAATAATAATAATAATAATAATAAGCTTTTATTTAAACACGATACTCGTACAGCGTAGCTGAAGTGGTCGTGAGTATACTAATTAAATAATAGTTAATAAAATAAGTTAAATTTATAGTCATCTAGAATTTCTTAATAAAATTATTTTTCAATGCAATATAACTATCTAAAGATCTATCACTATTTTCCAGAGAGTTCCAAAGGATTGCACCTAGATACCCGACAGATTTTTTCATGAAGTCTGTTTTAAACTTTGGGATTTTCAAAAAAATTGTTTTTCTAAAATTATACAGTTGTTCTCTCTTTGTGAATATATGTTGGAACGTTATAGGTGATAAATTGTGGTAATACTTGAAGACTAGTTTTAACAATTTTAAATTATAAAATAATTTAAGTAGCCTCCAGTTTGTTTGAGTTTGAACTTCTTTCGAAGGTTTGTCCCAGGCATACTGGTAGATTAGTCGTGCTGCCCTGATGTGAATTCTTTCCAAATTGTCAAATATCGTTTTCCCAACGGATCCCCAGATTAAAATTCCGTAAGTTATTGATGGCAGAATAACCTTAAAATAGAAGTCCAAACTTGCTTGCAGAGGTAGAAAATGAAACGATTTAAGCAGGTTTAGTTTCTTATTGAACGATTCAACTACTTCCAAGGCATGAACGTCCCATTTGAGACAGGAATCCACTTTTAACCAAGACATATTTTTGTGTTAACCAATTTAATGACAGACTGATCAAGTTTGATTTGCGGCAATGGACTGATGAACCAAGGACACCCCAACAGCATATATTCTGTTTTTCCAGTGTGAACCGTCAATAAGTTCTTCAAACACCACCATGACAATTTCCGTAACATTTCATTGAGGATACTTGCAACACTATCGGGTTTTGGTCCAATCACATATATGGTGGTATCATCAGCAAACTTTTCAATCTCTCCATCATCGCCTTGCATAACTTCAGGAAGATCATTACAAAACACTGAAAAGAGGATCGACCCTAAAACCGACCCTTGTGGTATTCTACTAATGTTCTATACGACTTTAAACTACTTACAGATCACAGTAGTGGTCCAACGTAATGTAGTAAAAGCGGCGAATGTTTTCCATATATTACGCCAAAAAAAACATAATTCTGATTCTGGTCAGCGCGCGCGTCATCTTTGACTACACGCGTAAAAACGCTCAGGTTGTTGCAATAGCAGCAATACTGATGAAAACAGGATTGAACAATGCTTTGCTGCCCATATTGTTCATAGTTGTCAACAACATTGAACAATATTGTTATACCCGATTCAGGCTCAACAATGTTCAATATTGTTGACAAGTGTGAACAACGTGGGCAGCAAAACATTGTTCAATCCTGTTAAGCAACGGGCTCTGCGTTTTTTGCCGTGTATGCGCGTCAACGTTTTTCTTTTTGTGAAAACCGCTTATAATCTCAAGGAATTTTATCCCTGGTCAAGAAACAAATTACTGAAATTTTGACACGAAAGTGTTGGAGATTGTCAAT